ATTTATCTTAAGCTGCTGCAGTCTATAAATATTCAAGCGTCTGCTGCCATTTTTATGAATGTAAGTAAGACCCGTGTTGCATTAGTGGTGGTTACATTTTCTATCACAGATGAGGAAGAACCACAAGGGACACTTAAAAGCATGGAGAGTATTAAACATCAAATAAGAAAAAATCCTGAGGCTTAAAGAAGGGAAATAACCAGTTTTAAAGGGAAGGCTGCAGGTAACCAACTCTGCAAATTCACTTTGCACCACAGAAACAGTAAGCTTGAAACTTCTCCAAAAAAGCGTAGATATTCCATTCTGTAATATATAACCTTGTTTTGTGAGACATGGTAATTTAGCTCTGCCACCATGTGTGCATTTCTTTTGGCTAGCTATCAAGAGTGTTCCATTAGATGTTTGTAATACAGTTGTAAAACTGTATTCAGTACTTTGCTGAATAGCATGATTTGGTCATCCTCTTACTCCTTGCCTGAAGACTTCTCAAATTCTTTTGTAACTGTTCGAATTAATTAGATTAATATCAGAGGAGAAAGCAATTTCTCTTTTCCGTACGTGCAAAATAATTGTTCTGATACAGTATTTCTGCCACAGAAACTCTGAGACTGACAAGCTGGGATGGTGACCCTGGCAGAAGACCTTGCAGATGCAGATCTCTCATCTGAACATCCTTTTTACTTCAGAGTAGAAACAATGAGGAGAATTATTTACTTTCATGAAAATCCTATTGAGCGTGAATAAGCAAAGCAGAGAGAACTGTCCTCGGCCAGGATCTTCATGGTGTGCTGTGCCTCAGTCCAGGTTGCTGTGCTGACCTACATGTTTAGGAAAGATACAATGATTTGAAAAAATTCCAGTATGCGTTGGACAGCATTTGCTATCAGCAGAGTGCTCAGAGATCACTATTCCTACACTTTGAAGGTAAATACTACAGTTTAATCTGTTGGGTTTTGTGGTGGCACCTTTTTATTTTTTCATTTTCGATTTTTTAGTGAGAGAAAGAGTCGAAAAAAAACCCCAGTTTTTGTTTAATTGCACGTGGAGAAAAAAAAGTCTTAGATCACTTTATGTGGTTTCTTTCTTATAAAAAAGTGAAAAATAACTCCTGATGATACTTATATCCATAGATATGAGTGTCACTTGGTGCATTTCAAAGTGCACTATTGAACAATTGTGATTATTTCCAAACTCATTACGAATCACCACTCACCTGTTGGCCAAAGTCATGTCAAATTGCAAACTGTCAGGTGTCTACTCTGTATGGAGCCAAGCCACAAATAAAGCTTGAAATTTCAAATGCCAACACTCGCAGTGGCATGCAATTCTCTTCATTGATTGCATGTTTTTATAGCCCTCTTAAATTCATACTGCTCCATCCAGAGAAGATAGCAGCCGTTTTAGACTGTCAAACCGTTTCCAAGGGAGAAGCAAAAAGTGGTCATAAATGATAGTGTCAGAATGTGAGAACAGATACATAGAGCTATAGAAGTAAAGTTCCAAAGAACGATGGATTAGAAGAGTGGTTTTGGAGCTATATTGAGTCTGATTGTTTTCATCATACTTCTGTTTTTAAGCTGTTGACTGGACCCCAAACTTTCAACTGCCTAATTCTAATTGAACCATAAATCCTCAAGGCCTTACTACTGTATCATTTAAAGAGACATGGCTTACCATTCCACATTACTTCTTATTTAAATTATATATTGTAGGAGGACACAGTCATTGAATTGACATGATGTACCTACTCCTTACTGTTTTCGCACACTTGGCAATCTGATACGATTTCTCTGTGCAAAAAACTTCCTGGATTGGAACAACACCACAGTAAGGTGTTCCCCAAAAGAGAGTTCGAAGACAATTGATTGATATACAAAAGTTTCATTAGAATGCTAGATTGGCAGCTCAGATATATGTAAATTGTACATTTCAAAGCAGGTGTTAACATAGCTCCTTTAGTACAGCCTCCTGGAAGTTATTTACAATCGTATGTTCTCATGTTTCCCATGCAGAAAAACTGCATGCACTGTCTGCCTAGAAATCAGTGTTTCCTGCTGTCCAACCTCAACACCCTTTTCTATACCATGTTGCTGTGCTCTTCACCAAGTATCAATCTGATGGGAAGAAAAAGGAAAAAAGCTGAGGAGGAAGTATTCTTAGGGCAGGGTTAAAGTTGCGTTACTGTCCTCAGGAAGGAATGAAAATACAACGGACTCGTTCCTGACTTGTATACACAGATTATTGATAACATAACCAGCAAGAGCAAAATTAATTTTCTCCATCTGTCTTAACAGTGAAAAATGCTGTGTCAGAAGAAATTTGTACTGCTTGGTACTGTATAAAGTTATATAAACAACAAACAAACAAAGCAAGAACTGAAGTTGAATCAGTTCACCAGGCACAGGGTAAAATCCTTAAGTTCTCATTCTAAAACTCCATTGATTTATCCAGAAATATGCATTACTGACTGAAGAAATGAGCTCTATGGGATTGCCAGTTACGCTCCACCCATAGTCCAAATCAAGTGAAAAATAGGTGAAGGGAGTGAAGCATTCATGAGAAGTGGTTCTTGAAATGGTGCACAGCACATTTAGCATTTGGGATTTATGGCTTAATATGGCAGCAGTACCACATAATGCATATGAAGTTGAATATATGCTCAAGTTCACTGCTTCTCTGATGGAAATGAAAGTTCTTCAGCTGAGCCCCAGCTCATGAACTGCATTGCAATACAACTGACACACAGAAGTCGTCACAGCCTTGTCTTGAAGCTGCTACTGAACAGGAATGAGGAAGTATTTATCTACTTATGAAGCATCCTCAGTATGTGCACTACATTCACTTTAGAGCACGTACAAGCCATTTATTTGAGGCAGTGAGCAGCATCCCCAAGTGCCACACGATGGCAGCCTCTTAGAAGACTGAAAGCTTAAAAGGCCATTCCTGGTGCTACAGCCTAAATATTAAACTTGAAGATAGAATTTACAAAATGAGGGTAATGAAATTTGGCTGTGGAGTGCTCGTTCTGGATTTCTGCTTTCCATCGCATCACATGTAGAAGAGGCTACAGAGTGACCCTTTTTTTACCTTATGCACATTTGAGGGTTTTTGCTCACTTTACTTAGGGTACATGCAATGAAATATCTAAGTAAAAATTACAACTCACAAAAAAAACTTTGAAAAGCAGTAATCACTGCTGGTTGTTGAAAACAGTGTCCATACATGTACCATGGGGCACTGGGAAAGCTTCTATGTGAAGGAGTTGAGTTTGGGTGGAGCTGAACTGCCTGCGTAGGACATGCAGGAGCGTGTGACCTCAGTTCTAATATAAAGGAATAATAAAATATATTTGTCTGCTGTAGTGCTTGAAGGTGTGTGACAGAGTGTGACAAAGTGAGCTTGGTTCTGCACAAGCACAAAACAGATCTTCATGCTGAGCTCAGGCAGTAGAGCCATTAAGGCCAATTGATTTGCAGATTTCTCTGCAGTTGGGTATCAGCACTGAAACCCTCTTAAATGAAGGCAAACTTGAAAAAGATTGGCAATATATTATTAGTCCATGAAAGGTGTAAAATACCACCATTCTCCATGGTGAATGGAAGTATTGATTTTTCTTTCTCTTTTCCCTTGGCAATAAGTCTACATTAAAAAAAAAAAAAAAAAAAATCTTTGCTGGACTTACTATCTGAAATCTGAAATCAAGTAATGCACCATGTGCCTGACAGCCCAATAAAACCTAAGTATGAATGTCCATACAGCTTCAACATTATCATTTCCATCCTATATGTAAGTCAGTGACTTGGCTGAAATGGGAGCAGAAAGGGAGCAAGAGCCCAGAATGTTATTAGAATAATGGAAAGTAGGCTTTTGTGTTTGTGGTTTTTTCCATGTAAGCCAAGGACAGAATTAGTCCTTCAGGAGCTGTTTAAAGTGCTTGGAAGGACCCAGTTCACTAGTGTTAAGAATGATGCTATTCCTGTCATGCAATCAGTGCTTGAAGGGGGTGCAATATCTGGGTTTTTGGGGCAGTCCTTGGGGGACGCACAGGTGAGACCAGAAACGCTTGTCTCTCACAGGGGGAGCATTCCTCATCCAAGAGACCCAGAACTCCCTTTTCTTAGGAAGTAAAGAAGCCAGGAGAACTTCCTGGAAAATCCTGTCCCTACATCTACTGCATGGCAATGCTCAGAAAGGAGGCGGTGCACATTTGGCACTCATCCCAGCACATGCAGAAATGGGGGCACATAGGAGAGATGAGCACAACCACACACGTAGTTGTGACGAGAGCTGTGCTGAATGATTGACTTTATTCTATTCTGGTTAAGTGCTAAGAGTTCTCAGTAGATGGGGAGGTGTTCTAGATGGAGGATTTTCTGCCCAGCTCTGGGGATGCTAATCTCCAATTTTAAACCAACAAGTGCTGGCGTGACACATCACTGCATGCCGCCCCACCTCACATACATGCCTATTAATGTTTCACTGCATTCTTGCTCCAAATTGCACATCTCTTGAAAAGCAGTACAACATAATTAATGCAAATAGCAGTCATAACAATCAGGAATTACTTCTAAAATTAGCATAACCAAGTTGGCAGAGAATAAAAGCAGTTATCTCACTTGGAAAAAATTTCTTCACCCAAAATGTTAATCATGGGAGAAATTGTAAGACTATTTAATCTTTGATGTCCTTATTTTAATAAAACTGCTGTGAACCTAGAAATTTATTTCTGTAAGTCTACGCTTACAGTGCGCACTTGTTGTAAGCACAGTTTGCACTTTGGTTCATGGAAACAAACATAAGTTTCAGCTCATATATTGTTTTATTCAACCTTATTCAACATGTGCTCCCAGGGCTGACTGGGTCCTTTCCCCAGGTGCTCAATCAGGGGTTCAGGCAGTGACTCAGCAATTCCCATACGCATAGCTGTGCTCCTGAGGAAAGCCAGACAAAACAAGGTGATGCCCCTCTGGAATAAATGTGAACAGCCAGAATTATTCTCCATGGGCTGTAATCAGGGAAGAGTATCTGAGTTTGTTTCTTAAAACCACCTCCAGTATTTATTAAGTAGAACTGTAGAGCCATTAAGATTAGAAAGACCTCTAAGTTCATCTAGTGCAACCACCCACCCATCCCCCCTATGCTCACTAACCCTGTCCCTCAGTGGCACATCTCCACCGTTCTTCAACACCCCCAGGGGTGGTGACGCCACTGCCCCGCTAGACAGCCTGTTCTAATGGCTCACCACTCTTCCTTAGAAGAATTTTTCCCCTTACATCCAACCTGAATCTCCTCATGCACAACATGAGGTTTTGTTTTACTTTCTTTTCTTTCTTTTGCTGCTGCTTTAGTCAAGCTCCTGCAGCTATGCAGTATTGTACCTATCAAGCATCCAAACAGTCATGAAGTTTTGGATTTTTCACACGGAGGAAATTGTAAGCTAAGGATTAACACTTTGTCGTTATTGCTTTTTTAATTAGTCACGCCAGTCGATTTTTGTGGTGCGTGGGTCAAAGCCCCCATGGATGCTACTTATTTAGTGAACAGACAGCCTGGATTAATATGAGGATTTCTGGAAGAATCTGATTGACATTCAGGGATTTAATACTCAGATTAATCCAGTAATTCTAATTTTATAATATGATGTGTGTCCTTGCATAATTTCCTCTTTGGAAGCAAAGAACAGCATATATCCCTCTTGCAATTGCTGCAGCTGTAACAACTCCTTCATGCTTTAATGGCACTCAATGTGCTTAACAGCTGTCTTGTAAAATACACACAGAGTGTGCTCGAAAACAAGGGATCATAACCTGGCTGGAAACAACCCTGAAAACCTTTATTAACCACTTCTGTAACCAACATACCCCTCAGGAACATGAGATATTTAACACTTGATATACTCTGGCATGGGAAATCCAGTAAGTAGTTGGACTTCTGCACCAAAACCCCATAAATGTGAATCTGGCTTTGTAAATGAAGTATCATTTGGTGGTTTTGTTTGCTTGTTTTGGTAGATGTGGTGCAACAATTAGTATCAGCAGCACCAGTAATCATGCTTTGCAATGCTCACATAATACTGTGAAGCTGACATACTGTTGACAGTATGCTGACAGCATGACTGTTAACATGAAGTGTATTGATTTTAATTCTCTTGCTCTTATCCTTTTATTTTCAGATTTCTAACCTGCTTACCAGTTTCTCTAGAATGTGTTTAGGAGACTGTGGTATTTGAGAGAGGGATGCTGTCTCATAATCTGCCTGTTTGTCCTGTTCAGTAGGAATTCAAATGCTTAAGGAGGAAATGTTCAAGACAAAGCACCACAGGTACAGTGTGGTACGTAATGCAGACAGAAATAAGCTATTGACAAGCTGTGGGATGAATGGAATAATCTGAAGTCTTATGCCTTCACATTTGTTATAGAAATTTGACAAGGCATGTATATTCTTTGCCATTTACAAATGGAGACCCTTGGCATAAAGGATTATGATTTGAAACTATGCTTTGAGTATTGAGTGTATCTTCTGTCCTTTGTGGCTGTCCTGGTCTGTGCAGTTCTGTGTTCTGCGGTTACTTTTTAAGAACCAAACAACAAAGACATGTGAAGGATACTTTGACTCTTACATCAACAGATACAGAATGAAAAAAATCCACCCAGCATCCCACATCGCTGCTGTAAATGCTGCTTTTTGCTGTTGTATTCTTTTTTATAAGTTGAATCAGTGGTTCACCTGGAGGTGGTATGCACTTCCCTTTGCTCTGTACCAGAAAAAAGGTGAATTTTTAGTATCATTTGAGTGCTCACTTGTTTGCAATTACATGGTGTATGGAAACTGTTATATCAGGGCTTGAACAAGTGATTGAGCATCTGGTGAAGGGGTGTAGCCTACCCTGGGAGCACAGGTGGAAGCAACTCACCTGTGTGATTGGAAGTCCCTAATCTCATTTAAGGGCTGGCTGCCACACAGTAAGGTTCTCTATTTGGAGATTGCTTCCTTGGGAGTGTTTGATGAGCCCTGATCCTTGGAAAAGGGTAAGTAATTCCTTCTTTGTTACCAGATTGTGACCTCTATCTTGCTTGGGTTATCCTGAACTTATTTAAAGCAGATATGTTTACTATCATTTTTCTCTATGTGTGGAATGCGTCATGCATTTTTCTTGGTCAAAAATGCTACCTCTGGTGGTGTTCATGCACAAATATCTGTTTTAAAATTATAGAAGCCTTAAGGTTGGAAAAGACTGCTAAGACTATCTAGCCCCATCCACTATGCCCTCTTAGTGCCCCATCTAGCCCTACCTGAACATTTTTATTTTGAGACAGACCTCTCCAAGACAGCATGGAAGCGATGTAGAGCTGAGTACTGACCTCAGGTGATTTTTCTGCTTGGTGCACCATCAAGTAGGTTAGAACTTATAAAGACTGCAGGGTTCTGCAGATGGTTGGTAAGGCTGAGAACATTGACTTCTCTGGAATCTGGGGGTGTTGAGATGGGATGGCTCTGTGCCTTCACCTGTTGCAGACTCTGCCATTCATACATAGGTAGGTGTAAAGGTCTTTGAAAAAGGTAGTTTTAAGCAGAGTTCACAAACAGATGCCTTTTTAGATATGCTTCTACTATTAGCTTGCTTGATTAAATAATTAATGTTGAACATCAGGAGTAAATAAAGAAAAAAATATCATTGCTTTTCACGTGTGAAACAATGAATTTTCATTTGAAGTCCCCAGTAGATCTGGTTCTATTGGCTGTACTCCCTGTTCTCTGTGCAAGGCTTTTGCACTCAAAAATGGAAGTGGCAATGTGCCATGTACTGCATATAAAAACTGCAGTGATATAAAAGCAAGAGAAAAAGTACTTTGCAGTGCTTTCACTCATCATTCAGTGCCAGCTGGCCATGTGGGACTGGAAGGGCTATTGGTTACATTTTTATATTAATTTCTCTATGTATTTAAGTTTGGTTGTTGAGTAATAAATCCTGGCTCTATCTTCCCTGGCATATTTTACACCAGGGTTTTGAGCAATTTCAACTTTACCTATGGACGAGAAAGGTTTCAATAACTTCAAATTGTGGGTGTTGTGTTGTTTTTGATTTTGCTGTTGTGCATACAGGTGTTAATGCTAGTGAATGTTGCTTGCAGTCTGTACCTCATTCCATTGGTTGCAATCAGAATGAACAGACAGCTTCACTCCATGTAGAAGTGCAGATTCCAGCCTGTAAAAAGGTGTTTTTGTTTGTTGTTTTTCTTTTTTTTTTTTTTTTGATCATTCTTTAAAACGGATGCCAAGATGCTTTTCTCACGTTCACAAACTTTGCACGTGTCATCTTTCTGCCTTAGTTCTTCATGCTCTTGCTGTTGTGGACTGTTACAGTAACTGGTATTCTCTTGTGTTAACTTAATAAATATCAGTAAGTGTTGTTTCTGCTGTAGATGCTCACCTAAAAATCCAATTATGGTTTGGAAAAGGGATAATTTTGAACTATCTACCTTTCCATTTATTTTTTTAACAATCTGTCTTTAACTATTGATTTTTCCTTGTAATGTGTTTCTGCATAGTTACTGGCTGTCTCTAACTCTTCCACACCCTCAATTTTTTGCATCATTTCTGTAGTCATTGTTTCTCTTGTGTTACTCCTTCTCTCACGAGTTGAAAATACTCTGCCACGTTTCTTAAGATGCAGTGTTAGAGGAGAGCAATCTTATTTTGTGAGGCATGGGTTTACCTAAGAGATGACAAATGGCTGCCTGAGGACTTGGAGCATTGCTACTGAGCTCACTGGAAGGTTTTTATGACTTGCAGTGGGGTATAAAGACATCCATGGGCTTCAAGATCTTATGTAATAAATATTAGGAGGTATAAGTTTAAGGAGCACAATGCTGGTGACAGTAGAAGTTCATGAAATCCTTCTCTAACTTAGATGACTTCAGAATGAGGGTTAATAGCAGCAAGAGTTCATGCTTGTGGTCTGTGTAGTTGCCATCAAAAGACATGCATGTTTCTGGTATTGTACAAATGTAGGTGCCATGCTCTGATTGTGTAGGGATGGCCAAGGAGTTCAGAATGGTGACTTTTCTGAGCTCTATGAGGAACAGGATTTTTCTGACACTCCAACATGGAAGAATGCATTTTTGGAGGGCAATATGGAGAAAACCATACTTGGTAGGGACTGCATATGTCTCATTGGCCATTGTGTATGAGCACAGACAAATGTAGAATAAACCTTTACTGCATGAGGGTACTGGGCTGCCAGATTTGCACTTACAGTATGCTGTGGCTGTAACTAGACTACAAATGTTTTCTGGCTTTGTTCTGTGCCACCAAGGAGTATTTTAAAGGAGAATTTTAAGTATTTTTTTCAGGTGATGGTGGGCTTCTACTTCGACTGTTGTACAGTCACAGCTATTCTGGAATGCTTGGGGAAAAAAGGGAAGCTGACATTGTCTTCCTCTCCCTCTGCAACCAAAAGTCAAACTATAAGAGATTAAGCTTGAAAAAAAAAAAGGGGGGGAAGAAGGAGGGGGGGAAAAAAAAACACACACAGTAAACCCCACTCTTTTTCTGTGCTGTGTCAGAATCAGGAAAGTTCTAAAGCAAGTGCATGAGTTATGTAGGCTATAAGTATGGTGATCTGACAAGTCAGTTTTCCTTTGTCTTCCTCAAAGATGCCAATAATTTGGAACCTGATATTAGAACAGCCATATCTACAGTGTGTTCCACCTTATGCTTCTGGCTTGAGCGGTGTTTTCCCATGTTGAGATTTGAGCAATATGGGAAGAAATACTTGCTCTTTAAGAGCCAGTTAAAATAGATTGCATAATCACAGAATTGTAGGTGTTGCTTCTGTACATACCTGTCTGGTAGACTTAGATATGAAAATAATTTGAAAATAGAGAAATAAATTCTAATTGTTTCCTCTGTTCTATGGAAAACCATCATAAGAGTTATGGTATTATTAAATAAAAGTAGATTATTTTTTTTTTACTTGCTCTTCTATGTTTTTATAGAAAAGCAGCTCCTTACTCTATAAGCACATAGATGTGCATACGTATGATAAAATATATGCAATGTTTGCTATATAGAGGAGTTCTAGAAAAACAGCGTTGTTTATTTTCTGGGAAAGCATGAATAAATGATTATTTCTTCTGATTGTTTAGGTCTAATTGTCTTTTCACATAGAAACATAGCTGTATAAAGATTCAGTGACTAAACCTGACTGTGTTGTCATACTTTTGCAAAGATGCGAAAATGGACCAGCTCTGGCAGAGCAGTGCTCTGGTTATTATTGGGGGGGGGGGGGAAGAAACAAGCACTGCTGAATAGAAATGGCATCTCTTGTTGGTGTAGGAAGTAATTTTTTTTTTTTTTTTTTTTTTTTTAGGCAGAGATTTCAGTCTTGCTAGATATTGCACTTCTGGGATCAAGGAAGAGCACAGGGTTCATGTTTATGAGAAATCTGTCTGGTCACTGGTTAACAAGTCTGAAATAGTGCTCCAACTGATCATGTCAAAACAGAGTTCTTGATGAATTTCTAAAATGCTCTCAAGGAATGCAGACCTGGCTGTTAATGCTTTAAGTAAGCTAAGTGCACAAGACTTAAAGGAGGTATTACTATCAACAAAAGACAAATACTGAGTGTAAATTAATTGTTGGAGTGAAAGCTTGCTACTTGTTGTTTGTTGTGCTGTCCTAGGCTTTGATTGGTTGTTTTATGTTTGGAAAGGCTTGAGCCATCCTCTTGATTTCTCTAAGACAAACTGCTTGAGTACTGCTTACTGTGAATGGGCTGAAGGAAGAGGTCCTATGGCAGAGCTTTCTATTATTCCCTAATAACAGTGAACATTGTACTTAAGTCTTGTTCCTTCTTCATTATATTTGCAAAAGTAGCTTGTTTGCAGTAATACTTTTGAAAGAAGTAAATCTTCTCAATTAGAAAAAAAAACACTGAAGTAATTAAATGAAGGAAGTGAGCAAAAAGCAGAAAAAAGTGAGCTGCAACTGACTGCTGAGAGCTGAAAAGATTCATAACATGTCTCTCCCTGAACACAACTGTGTCTGCCTTGTTTATAAAGGCAACCAAAGAGAGAAAGATGTGAAGATGAGTGCCTGCCACATCAGTAGCCCTGTGATTGGAGCACTGCCCTGAGTTTTCTTGGGTGCCCACAGAGACTTCAGTATGCTTGGGCAGCTCTTGTAACGAGATGCAGAATCTTCTTGTTTTCCTTGCACAGGTGAATTACTTTTCTTGGTTTTGTTTCTATCTCTGGATTTTCCATTCACTTACAGTGCATCTCCACGTTTGTCCCTGTCTGGAAAAGTGACTATGCTATGAGTGCTGCCTCTTATTCTAGCTGTGCTGCAGAAATTAAGTGATTCTTCTTTCACCATTTGAAGTACAGCTGTGGACACCCAAGGTGATGAGAAGAGAGACACGGAGTCAATCTTCTAGGCAAAGTAAGGGATTCAGGCGTATTGTTACAATGACTATTTGCTTAATGGTGGATAGTTGGTTGCTGTCTTCCCTGCCTGCTTATGCACAGGCTTTGCTGAACACTATTTTCTCTCCAAAATTGTATAGGCAGTATTGGTACACAGATTTGAGATTTGGGTTCCATTCAGGCAGCCACAGGCTTGAAAGGGAGATACATCCATTTAGGAGGAAGCTTTTCATACAGAGGGTGGTGATGCACTGGAACAGGTTGCCCAAGGAGGCTGTGGATGACCCGTTCCTGGAGGCATTCAAGGCCAGGCTGGATGTGGCTCTGGAGAAGTCTGTTCTACTGATTGGTGACTCTGCACATAGCAAAAAGGCTGAAACTAGATGATTGTTGCAGTCCTTTTCAACTGAGGCCACTCTGATTCTATGATCCATGTACTGTTCCCAGATATTGAGGTTACTACTGAACCTAGAAGTATCTAAAGACGCATAACAAAGATTGTGCTCAGTGAAGTGATCTGGGCCAGCATCTAGGTGGCTATTTCAGGCAGTTTTTCTGTAGGGAGCAGGAGTCCTCAGCAAAAGTTTCATCACACAGCA